CCGTGCCACGCTCATTGGCAGTCTCAAAGGCAGCGTCGCTAGTCTCGTTGGCAGTCTCGAAAGCGTCACTGACGTCGGTGAATTGGGGTCTGTAGCTGCTACCGGGTCGGCTGCCGGGTCTGCGGACGGCGGAGTTGGAGCGAAGGGTGGGTGAAGTTCTCGGGCTACCAATTTCAGTGGCCTCTTCCCATTCGTTGTCGTCCTGGTAGACCTCGTTCCTGCTGCTACGGTGACCGCCGAGCAAGCCGCGGGACGGCTTCTTGAACTCTCGCGACTCAACCTTGCGGGTGCGACGAGCAGGGGCCGGGGCGGCGTCAGTACGAAGCTTCTCCAACTCATCGCGCGTGTCCTGGAGGAGTCGCTTAAGCTCGAGCTTCTCGGTCTTTTCACGGTGAATGACAGTCTTTTGGCTCTGGATGGTTCGCTGGGCATGCAACAGAGAGCTCTTGAGAGTCTCGGACTCGAGCATAGCATGGCGAGGAGTACCCTTGATGGGCGATGGCGGCGGTGAGTGCTCGGGGGTGAAACCGTCCGTCGCAGTCTCAAAGTCCTCGTCGCTAACGCCACGAACAAAGTCGCGATCGGACATGCGGCCGCGCTGGACTGAAATAGCCTTGGCGAGCTCCGTGTTCTGGCTCATCAAGTCGTCAACCTTTCTTCGCAAGGCGTTTCTCTCGGTTTCCGCCGTGGCCGCATTTCGCTTGGCGGTGGTCAAGTCGAGGTCCAGGTGCTTCACAGCTCGCTCATGCTCCTCGGCGAGCTTGGCAAGTGAGACTTTAGCATCATCAAGCTCCTTCTGCGCCGAGTTCTTCTCCACCTGGAGAACATTGAGGCTTTGCGTGAGCTTCTTCTCTCGATCCGCGGCGTCCTTTTGCGAAGCGATCAAATCATGGATCTGAGTCTCGAGGTTCCAGTTCTCGTCCTTGTACCGATTCTCGCTTTCGTCCAGAGTCTTAACGCGTTGTTGAAAGTTCTCGTTCTCGATTTCAAGTTTGGACTTGTCGACTTTGATGTCGCGAAGCTCCTCATCCTTTTCGGATAGGAGTGATTGAAGGTTGCGGACCTGGGCAATCAAGGATGTGCTGATTTCGGCGGCAAATTCGATATCGTGGATGCGATTGGCGGGCTGGTTTCTAACTTTGCGGTTCGGGACACTGAGCTTACTAGGCGATCCGGTGGCCTGAATCTCGAGCTTCTCAAATTTGGATGGACTGACGGAGCGCTATTGCATGGTTAGCCGGAACAGACATGCGCCACATGTATTCGGCGCAGACTTACTCTTCCTATTCTTCCATCAGGGACGTAGGGTGAGCCTCCAGCGGCTTCATTGCTGGGAACTCTCTGCTTGGGCAAGAAAGCCCTGGCAGTCTCTCGAGCAACATCATTGTACTCCTTTTCGATATCGGCGAGCTTGGCGCGCAACTCGGGAGCGAGTTCGCCTTCTGTCTCCTGCTCTTCCACTTCCTTCAATCGTTCTGCAAGTTCCTTGCGCTGGTGGACCAGTGCAGTTCCTAGCTTTCCGGCTTCGTCAAGTCGTCGTTCAGTATCTGCAATATGTGCTTGTAGTGCGCGCTTCGCCTGGCCTGGCGATGAGCTGAAGGATTGGCTGTCGTAGGTAGAGTAGCGATTGTGGGCTGGGCCAGGCGGGGATACGAAAGGATCATTCATATCCGCTTCAACAGGCGGCAGATGGGGTTTATCGACGGCGAGTGAGGTAGCCATGTTGGGTGGAAACAATGGGGGATGCCGCCGTCAGATACGTTGTGGCGACATCCAGTGCACGTATCCGCGGAGCAGCGATGTTGTTTTCGTCTCGTAGGCCTTGAAAGCTGGTGGTGCGGTTGTAGACAGAGAGTTGTGCTGTCGCAATTATCGGCCGAGTCAAGCAAGCTTAGGGAAATAGCCGGTACCGAACGGGGGATAGGGCGACCTGAGGTAATGAGCTGCAACACAAGCGCGGGGCGTGCAGAGCCGGCTGCCGTGTGCAGAAGGGGAAGATGTCGTCACCCACGTGGGAGAGAAAACCCGAGAGGAGGAGAGGAATAAACGAGGGAAGGTAGAAAAGAGTTGAAAGCCGAGGAATTGAAGGCGCAAGTCGGGGCTGGTCGCAAAGGGAAGTAGGTGGAAGAGAGTGGTGTTTACTGGGGGTGCGTGATGTTTTTTGTTGACGTTGACGGGGGGCTTTGTTGTTTGTGTTCCCCCTCCCACAGCTGACCTGAGAAGGACAGAGGACAGCGATTGCGGTGCGATGGATTGTTGTGTTGTTGACTGGAATGCGGTCCCCAGTGGTTCCTTACGCAGGCGCAGGCGCTGGCGGGTTGTGTGTGGTGGTCCTATGGAGCGATGGTCAGGGCCTGCAGAAAAAAATGCGCTACGCGACTAGTAGAAGCAAGGCAGTGCCTGTCTGCTTTGTTGTTTGGCCTTGAGTATCTGCACGGAGGATGCAGCTAAGAGGATGGGACGGGGTGGTGGGATGAGCTAGGCGCGCCCGCACCTTTTCCTTTCCTTGTGGTTGCTCTTGTTTTCTTGCGCCAGAACTTCAGGTCGGCGTTGTGTTTTTTGGGGGTCTATATTTTTTTTTCTCTCTTGTCTTTTTCGTCCCTTTTTTTGGTTCTCTTCCCCTTCTCGACACACAGACACTTTTACGTACCTTTTTAGAAAGCCGCAGGATCCGATGGGCAGAAGAAAGAACCAGACGGCGGAAGGTTAAGAACCTAAAAGCGGTTGGTGCTTTGGAGACGGCAACGAACGACCGGGGGTTTGTTGGCGTGTGTTGCGTGACTGTGTGCTGTGCAAGAGCGGCCTATGTCCGGGGAAAGGGACAGTGAGAAACAAAAAAAACGGCGGCAAAGAATAAGACAATGGGATTATTACGGAAACGTCTGCCGTTTCCCGTGAATGTCGGCGGATAGAGGCGAAAGATGCCAGGGGAGAAAAAGTAAATGAGCTGGCGTTTTCGAAGAGCGCTGAGGTCTCAGTTGAGACTATTCTGCAGATGATTACGGGCCGGTAATGCGAGGCGACCACGCGCGGCGGTGAACAGTGAGGTGACGAGATAGGACCGTTGGGGGTGTCCCTCTGACTCTCTTAAGGTAGCTAGATCTACCTATACGGTAAGGTAAGGTAAAGTAGCACCAGGTGGTATTGGCTTGAGCAGAGTCGCAAACCGATCGGTCGGGAAGATTGACGTATAGCGGAGCGCGGAGGTGGCGGCGGCGGCGGCAGACGGAGGAAGGCGCGAAGAGTCGGACCAAAAACTAGGTAAGAAAGAACGGAACGGGTATTGGCCCGTATAAAGATAGCGAAGTAATAAGGTCTGGTAGCTGCAGGTAAGATACCTGTTCGTTTTTAGGGCGATTGTAGGGAAGGTGGGAGTAACTAGTAACAAAAGCTTGAATAGAAAAAAGGCAGTGTAAATTAGAACGAGAAAAAAAAAAGGTGGAAAGAAAGATGGGATGCCCCCGAACCAGCACGGAAAGCAGGAGAAAGAGAGAGGTCCAAGTCGCGATGATCAAGACGATAGACAATTACGTCCTCGTCTTTGTTCGGCAACAAGGTTCTTCTTTCCTGTGACGCTATTTGTTGCTGGTCTTGTGTCTTTTTCTCCTGGCGCGATGCTCCAAACTGAAGGGGAGACTCGAGGTCGCGAAGGAACAACGAGGTCGATGCCCGTCTGAGTAGAGTGACGCGACTGGATGGAAGCACAAGAAGGAAGGACGGAGGCGACGGTCGGCGGGTGTCGGCGTCGGCAAAGGGAAAGAGACAGACACACGACGGACGACGAGGAGGGGAAAGGGAGGAGAAGGAGGGATGGAGGGAGAGAACGTGGAAGGGGTTAGTAATTAATTTGGGAAAGGGCAAAGTCGCGAAAGAGAGAAGGAGGAGAGTGGAAAGAGGAAGGCACGAGGGGATCCTCTCTCACTTTCAAGTATCCTCAAATTGTTCCTTCATACCTTCCTTACACAATCCACACTTCCATAATACAGTACACAGTACTGCGTAGAGCATGAGAATATTCGCAACAAGGGCATTGTTATTCACCACCAGCGATGCGCTTCTCCCCCTTCACGCGTTACGGCATGCGTGCACAACCACTGTGTAAGGAGTATTTGGATGGATACAAGTGATTTTAGACCAGGTGGCCAGGAGTCCAGGACCCAGATGGAGTGTGGTTTAGACGAGAGTTGTGCTCCCCCCGTCTCCTGACTGGGAATAGCAACAGGCGAGACCCATCTCAACGACTATCCATTTTATTCCTGTTCCTGAGCCTGAGCCTGTGCCTGTGCCTGTCAATTCCACCCCTCATGCCTGTCCAGAACGCAGGGTGCTTGCCAGGTCTCGCTGTCTTTTGGGTTCCACCGTGGAGCTGCAGAATGCCTGCACCTATGACTGTGCAACTGCACAACTTCGGGTACCTGACAGTTTGCCTTGCGACTGCACCATTCGTGCCATTTGCATCCGTTCGCGGACTGGGTGGATAATGGCCTTGTTGTTGTACGAATAACGGGTGCTTATCGATAATGTGCTGTGATCCCTAGCTGTGGACAGCAGCTCAACAACACATCATCACACTAGCAGTGACTTAAGCCGCACCTCTCTCCATATTCCCGTCGTTATCCATGATCTGCCGTACTACTATCTACCCGTCTTATGTATGTAAATTGACCTTGGTTGGGTCAAGTACCTAGGATCCTACCTTAGGTACCCAGGCGAACAGCTAGTCATCTGCCCATCATCGTCATCATCGTCGCCCAGCTCAGCTCTAAGCATTCATCTGAAAGCCCTCAATTTCAACATGCCTTAGCGAAGACCATTGGGATCCATCCATCGAGACGTAGCAAAGCCACTGGGGCGGCATTTGCAGGGACGAGAAAATGGGGGCATCAGCTCAAGATTGCGGGCAATGCATAGCATGGGGGGCTCTGCCACTCTACCTAGGAAACAAATGCAGGAGGTGAGTTTATTCAGTCAGCTACCTGGAACAGGCAGCTACCTACTGCATGCAGAAGGTCAGCTTTGCAATCCAAAACCAACTCATGGCTTCAATATGCAGTTGTTTTGTTGTTTTACCATGGCCTCATGCACCACCCAGGAGACGTCTCCATTCGATCGTCCAATGCCGTTGCCTCTCGCAGACAGACGATCCGTGTGGCTGCCGCTGCTACAACCGCATCCGTAGCCAATCCAGACAGCCCATTCCAACAACATGGCAGCATTCTCTCACGCGCACGGCAGACAGCACAGTGAGTGAGACCGCGAGAGAGTTCACAAGAACAGCATCCATCCCGACCCCACCAAAGAATACCGCTTCCCAGCTAGTACGGATACATGTGCTCATGCAAGCAATCAGTCATGTCAGATCGCAGGGCATGGCATGGCATGGCATCGACAAGGCATCGGCCATCCATCGTCGCCCATCTATGGGCTCTTCCCCGCCAATCCATACCGCCATATCGCATCGCTTCAAAACAATGCCCGTGAAGACGCGCCCAGATGTTTCCTTGGGGTAAACTCGTTTTGGTCGCATAACTTTGGCCAATCTTAGCTCGCATCCACCGTGAGCCAGCTCTAACCCAGCTGGGAAGCTCATCCCTGCAACCTTCTGTGTACTGGTCTCTCCTATTTCTGACCAATCGGTCCCTGGTCTTCCAGCCTCCCGATTTTCCTGACTGGCAGCTGGACTCGGCGCCGCCCCAGAACGCTAAGCCGTATCAGTCCAGGCACCTGATTGGTTTCGCCCCTCCATATGGGTCTTTCGCTCAAGCCACGAAATTTGTCAGCCCTGTGGCTTGACCTGATCATTCTAGAAGGCATTCTTGAACCCGAGTGTTGATGATCGCCATCAAAGCTAAAGTTGACCAAGGGTAACCCCAAACTTCTCTCTCAACTACCGACGTTGCCTAGCCTTAGCTGCGGATCATCAAAGACTCACTAGAAAATCTATATCAACGAAATCAGAATATTCCGTCCATCTTCAAAAACCGACGTACACTCGCGATCGAGGCCCAGACCCATCAAACATGGCCGACAGCGCCCCAGCAACAGATGCGCCAGTGGCCATCTTCAAGCGGCGCGGCGCAAAGGGCAAAGCCAACATCCGCAAAAGACCCGCAACACCGCCGCCCGTGAACAGCGACTCCGACTCCGACTACTCATCCTCCGAAGACGAAGCAGGCCAGCGGGTCAAGAGGCGAAAGACGAAGGCAGGCGCCATCACGGCCTCGTCCAAGGACATCGCCAAGTCGAAACAAGACCTTTCCGCCACAGTATTTACCGCCGATCGCAGCGTGCCCATATCAGACTCCAACGATGCCACGAAACAAAGCAACTGGTACGACGAGGATGGCAAGGACGCTCTTTCATCAAAGAACCTACTAGGCAGCTCGCGAGCTGTCGCAAAGACATCGCAGGCCCCCGACGGAACATACAAGGGGCTGGCGAACCAGACTTCGTTCATCACGAAGAACCCAGACGCCCCAAACAAGACAGTTGGCCCCATCAAGGCGCCCACCAACATCAGGACAATCACAGTCACCGATTTCGCACCAGACGTTTGCAAAGACGTAAGTTGCTCATCACGTTACCTCCTCAAATCATAGATACTAACAATCTTTAGTACAAACAAACCGGTTTCTGTGGCTTCGGCGATAACTGCAAGTACCTCCACGCCAGAGAAGACTATAAGCAAGGATGGCAGCTCGACAAGGAGTGGGAGAACGTCACAAAGGGGAAGAAGAACATTGCGGGAACCGTCGTTGCTAGCGCGGACCGCACCAAGGCCGACGACGATGATGACGACGAGGAGGCCATGTTGGAGAATATCCCGTTCGCCTGTATCATATGCAGGGAGCCTTACAAGGCGCCGATCATCACGAGGTGTGGTCACTACTTTTGCGAGCCTTGCGCGTTGAAGAGGTACAGGAAGGACCCCACATGCGCCGCGTGCGGGTCAGGGACGAACGGCGTCTTCAATGGTGCTTCGAGGTTAAAGAAGTTGCTGGATCGAAAGAGGGAGCGCGCAGCAAAGCGGCGGCAGGAGGCCATAGAAGCAGGGGAGGAAGTTAGTAGTGAGGAGGAGGAATAGGATGCTAGGACTCAAAGATACCACAAATCCTGTCGCGGCTGAATACCATTCGTCTCTGGGCATGTTGTCCAGTCTAAGTGAAGCTTCCATGACACTGACTCTGGTCCAAATCGCATGACCGAGATGGCGAGGGCCACCCTCGAGATGAGAATGCCAAGCTACATGTTAGATGTTCCCTTGTTCTCCGGCTTCCGACAGCTTTGTCTAGCTAGTTTCGAGATCAAAAGCTGAGGAACACACTTCCAATGTAGTCAAAGGGCAACTCATCAGCCACCCAGGCGTGAGTTTCAGGCTACATCAGAGTCAGCCTATGCTGCAGCAAAACAGCTCGAACCAGCGCGATCCGTGCCCTTCCACCGGTTTCAATGGCGCAACTGTATTGAGGAAGCTGTTGTATGTCGTACCTAAGCGGATTAGTACCTACAGTAAGGTAGGTACCTAGCTTCCAACGGCCGATAAGATAAGCAGATCCCCCAGCACTAGCGCAGGCAGGCGGCAACCCCGCCACCATCTTCCCTGTCCAATCGTGAGACAACCCCGCCATCCATGTGATCGCCCTGAACAGCTGCCACGAGCTTGACTCCCAGTCATCGACATCAGGCGGAACTACGACAAACTACATCATTCTCAGAGTCGGCGGAGGACTAGGCTGTCTTTCTAACCCTTACCAACCACATCCTTCTCATCAGCAAGAAGGACACCACTGAAGAGGATCGCATCACCACAAAGCAACTATACACTTAGAGACCATCGATACCATTCAACACACGGCGTCACCGACTCGATATACCGAAGCTTACCTATACGACACAGACCGACGTCAACGATGAATCTTCTTTATTCGACCGTCAACACACTCCGCGACCGGTACACGCCGGTATCGCACAAGTCCACCTTCCGCCAGACGGGCCAAATCACCCCCGAAGAGTTCGTCGCCGCGGGCGACTACCTCGTCTACAAGTTCCCGACCTGGTCCTGGGGCGACGCCGACGCCGACAGCCGCCGCGTCAGCTACCTGCCTCCTGGGAAGCAGTTCCTCGTCACGCGCAACGTCCCCTGCAACCGCCGACTCGACGACGACTTCGCCGGCGATGCGGGCCACGAGGAGGCCGTTGTGGAGGGCGGCAAGAGCTCCGGGACCGGCGACGACGATGAAGATGGCTGGCTTCGCACGGGCGGGCTGGCGAGCTCGCAGCCGCTCAAGGTGAAGGAGGTGCGGACGGTGGACGACTCGGGAAATGTGGGAGACCGGGAGGTTGTGGAGGATGACGATGAGATTCCGGATATGGAGGATGAAGATGACGACGAGGCCATCATCCGCGATGCAGGAGACAATGGAAAGAACAGGTACTGATCGTGTAGAGGCTTCTTCTTGAGAAGACATTGCTAACCTCTCGCGCTTTACAGCGGCCGGCGGACATACACCCTCTATATCATGTACTCAACGTATTACCGCACACCCCGCCTATACCTCTCGGGCTACTCGCCCAACGGCCAGCCGCTACCGCCGCACGCCATGATGGACGACATTGTGGGCGACTACAAGGACAAGACGGTGACGCTCGAGGACTTCCCCTTCTTCGCCAACAACATCAAGATGGCGAGCGTGCACCCGTGCAAGCACGCGTCCGTGATGAAGACGATGCTCGACCGCGCCGACGGGGCCCTGCGCATCCGGCGCGAGAAGCTGCGCGCCGGCAAGGCCGTCGGTGGGGACCAGGGCATGGAGGGACTCGTTGACGAGCTGGGCAAGCTGGACGTCAAGGATGCTCAGGCCGCTGCCGATAAGGACGGCGAGTGGGAGGAGGTTGAGCAGAGCGAGGTTGACGAGCAGGAGGTTGCGATCCGGGTGGATCAGTATCTGGTTGTTTTCCTCAAGGTATGTTCTGATGTGGGCGAAGTTTGCGAGGGTAATGATGATGCTAACTTGCTGTAGTTCATGGCCAGCGTCACGCCTGGTATCGAGCACGATTTCACAATGGGAGTATAGTCGGGCGGATCATTCATCTGCTCCTCTCTCAGTTTTGCTTTTCCCTTTTCTTATGGGAACGTTTTTGGGAAACGGGTGTGTCAGGGCGACGATGGGCTTTCTTCCCTATGTCATTGGATTACGGGGACTTAGATTATGGAACTTTGACAAATGGCGACTTACGAGAATTCAGTAGACTACAAAGTCGAGACGGTATAAAATCCGCATTATCTCTATCCAAGTCAGGGTGTATATACACCACTCATGAGTCCTATCTTTTTGATATGTGAGAATCATGACGGAATGTGTAATGAGAAGCGCGACGGGCGTTCTTTCGACCAACATCTCTATCGTTCACCCTGGTGCGTAGCAGACAAGATCTCATGTTGGAAACTTCGCCGGTGCTTCGTTGAGAGAATGGTATGATTTTGGTATTCCTATATAGATAGGGTGGTACTTACCTGACGGTAGTTCTGAGCCTTGATGGAGTGATAAGCGCCTCGCGTTATTGGAATAGGCCCTTTGGCTGCTGGAGATGCGCTGGAGACTGTACTGCTTGTGCCAAACGATGCGAGACGTGGTTGGAGTTCAGGCTCGGGTAGAGCTCGCTTGTGAAGGAAATTGGTTTGAGGTGAGGGAGGAGCAGGCTTGAAATCAACAAGATATCCCCATTATCCTCGCCAGATTGATGTTCTACCTATCTTAGACGCGAAAGGGGAAATGTGAAGTTGTCTCGGGGAATCGGGGTGCCGCCTTCGACGGGTGTGAAATCTACCTACGAGAGACTTCTCCGACTCTTTTACCTTGCGGAACGCCAAGAATTCTTATTGAAGCTTCTGGGTTTTGTCTGTTCATGAGGCTGAGGTAATGTAAAGGTATCTCAAGAGCATGGTATTGACTGGAGTAGTCTGTGAGGCAATTAGCGACTAGGGAACTAAACATAGGCAAGGCAGACATGGAAGAAATTCCTGGAACGCAGAAGAGTTTACACTCGAGCGTGTGATGATATACTGTTTTTTTTTTTTTTTTTGAGATGTTCTCATGGAGGTAAAGTGATGAAATCCGTACACCTGAAGGCCCCCAGTCTTTCTTTTCCGGGTTGCCGGATTTTGAGCTGTCTCAATCACTTGGAAGGTAGGGACTCCATGAGAAACACTTCCATCACGAGAGGGGTATCACTAGGCTTTGCTCCAAGGGTAGGCTGACCCGAGTATTGTAGTGCCTATCTTCGCAATATCCCCCTTTACAGTTCATATTCTGGGAGCTTTGGCCAATATGGAATGGAACTCGAGCCGTTTGAACGCGAAAATGCTATAAATACAGTTCTGCCAAGTCAGATTCTAGACTACAGCAGTGTGATTGGCTTATCGCGGTGATGTCGGGAGCATGATATAGTGATGGAGAGCAGCCCCCCGCGATGACATTGGGGCGTGGGTCGTCTATCTTGGTACCCTCGC